GTTTCAGAGTTCAGGAACGAGTAGTTTGATACACGGTTGGAGCACAAACCTTTCTTTTAGGATGAGCAGTCGGAGCCGAGACTCACTGTCAGTCACTGTGGTCCCTGTACTTGGTGTATTCCCAGGCCTGGCAGGTTTGGCTTGACCTACCTCAGATGATCCCCCAGTCTACTAAGACAGGTATCCCTTGGCTGTTAGCTTCTGTCTCTTCACCCTGCTGTATTATCTTTCTGTTACTGACTGTAATCTGCATTTACCTCGTTGTGATCTCTCTTTAAGTTCATTACTATTTGTATCCAATGGCATCTTCATCCTGGATGCTTTCCAGTGCCTGGGAGAAGGCTATTCATGGGTTAAGCACACGCTTCCTACAGGCACTAGTTTATAAGCTGATGGCTCATCTGAATGAATTAATCTCCAAGTTTCCTTCATCCCTACTTGCCTTCATGGCTCTTCCAACCCTGTGTGTATCGTAATGGTACATCCTCTGTCTTCATGGAGAGATCTTGTTACAGAGTGATGAGACCAGTGCTCAGCATCGGATTTCAAAACAGACAGCGAGAACTGAAGCTGAGTTCACGATTACAGTGCTGATGGCCACATGGTGTCTGGGCAGAAGAGGCTTGGTGGTCTTAGATAAGGCTGTTAAAAGGTGTGGGGTTCAGAGAATGGAGAACGTTGAGATATAGCTAAAGAGGCAGAGACTAGGCTATTCTCTGAGCCTTCCATTGATTGGCTGGCACTCAGGTGTGTGCGTGTGTGAGGTAAGCCTGTCTTGATTTGCAGGCTTTAGAGGGGAGGGTCCCCACTGGCTGAATGGTTTACATGTCCCTAAAGGAAGGTGTTGACTAGTGGAAAGGTTTAAGAGCAGCTGCTTCTTATCCTGGTCACAGGAAAGTCATTCCTTGTAGAAATGTTTTTTACTCTTAGCTCTCTCTTCTAGTACTCATTCAGACAGAGGCACAAAGAGAGACCATCAAGAGCTGTCCAGATCTTCACTATGGCTACTGATTGGCTTCAAAGATGAAGCTCATTTGTGAATATCTGATTACATGTTGATCACTGGGATTCCATCCTGTTTCCATGACTGCTGAGATAATTGGATGGGTAACCTGAACAGTGCCTTCTCACGACAGTGAAAATTCAGAACAACAGGGTTAGGGGCTACAGCTCAGTTGGTGGAGTAGTCAGCTAACATGCCTGAAGCCCTGCTTTGCTGGCTAGTTTCATGTTAACTTGACACAAGCTGGAGTCTTTGGGGGAAGAAGGAACCTCAATGGAGAAAATATACGTTCTGAATTGGCCTGTGGACAAGCCTGTGGTGCGTTTTATTTATTGATGATTGGTTTGAGAGGGTCCAGATTGCTGTGGAAAGTGCCACCCTTGGGATTGTGGTCCTGGGTGCAATAAGAAAGCAGGCTGAGCAGTCCCTGAGGAGCAAGCCAGTAAGTAGCATTCTTCCTAGAGCTCTGTATCAGTCTGCCTCCAGGGTCCTGCCTTGAGTTCCTGACCTGAATGCCATGAATGATGGACTACTAGCTGTAAACGGAAATAAATCCTTTCCTCTCCAAATTGCTTTTGGTCTCTGTGTTTTATCACAGCAATAAAAACCCTAACTAAGACATTGGGTTATATTCCTGAATTTGCCATAAGCCAGGTGTCCTGACATACTTTTGTAGTGCCAGCACTCAGGAGGTAGAGGCAAGAAGATCAGAAGTCCAACGTCTAATACATAATAAGCTCAAAGCCATCCTTATGAAAAATGACAATGACCTGTAAGTAACTAAACACTATGAAAATCACTAAAATATTGAGCACTTTGTGTTTGCAATATGGATTTTTTTTGTATGTGATAATATATTGATATGGTTTGAATGTAAGATGTCCCCTAAAAACTCAAGCATTTTCATCTTCATCCGCAGCTGTTGATGCTGTTTTTGGGAGACCATGAAACTTTTGGTGCTTGATGCCTAATTGATAGGTGTAAGCTGCCAGTGATGGATCTTGTTGCATAGACAGCTCATGATCTCAGGTCTGATCAGCTAAGATGTGAGCCAGCGCCTACCACCACTGTCAGGGCTGTGCCAATCACTGTTTACCACACCATGGTGGACTGGACCCTCCAAAATGTGAGCTGAAATGATCTGTTCCTCTCTTACGTTGCATCTGTAGGGCGTTTTGTTACAGCACAGAGAAGAGTAACTAATGCGGAGGTGTTTGAAGGCTGGGTGAATTCAGAGGGCTCCTGACTGATTCTCATCTCCCTACTTTTTTTTTTAAGGCAATAAGGCTAAGCATTGGTTCTTCACAAAATGGTGGGGTTTCACTGGCAAGAGATCTTGATGCATTTGAGTTCTTATTCCTGGATGTTAGCCTGACCTTTTTATGTTTATGAAAAAAATAAAAGTACATGTAATGTCTCTGTAGATAGCTGTGTCACATTGCTCCAATTATTTGTTGACCATGAAGTCTTTGACCCATAGAGATCTTTCAAATAGGCTTAAGACAATAACTTCTTGTTCTTAAGATAATTCTATCTAGACAGCTCTGCTTTGGTCATGTATATGAGTTTCAGTGTGTGTGTGTGTGTGTGTGTGTGTGTGTGTTTACTGGGAGTAGATTCCTTTTAATTAAGTGTGCAACATTATATCACATGGTCTAAAGAATTTTTCTGGTTATTATCTCCAGTTGCAGTCATTATATATGGCCTAATCTTCTTTTGTTTTTATTGATCTTATATTTTTATAGTATAGCGCAAATACTCAATTTTACCTTAATCTCTAATATTTTTGTTTTTATTTTTTTCTTTGTGTTTTTGTGTATGTATACATGCTCGTATGTGTGCTTTCATACGTATGTGAGTATGAAAACCAGAGGACAGCATCAGGGGTTCATTCCTCATTCTCCATCCACTTCATCCTTTTCAGACATGGCCTCTTGCTGGCCTGGGGCTCCTAGTGCTTTGGATATTGAATTCAGGTCCCCATGCTCGCAAGGAAACAGTTTTCCAACCCAGCCACCTCCCCATCTCTGTAGTGTATTTTTTTACTTAAGGTGTTTTTGGAGGGGGTCTGGATTATGAGTAGCTCCTTTTCCTCCCCCTCCTTCCTTTGCCCCCTTTCCTTCTCCCTCCTCCATTTTCCTCATTGTAGCCTACTGATTTTTGTTTCCCCACCTGATCCTCTGATAGGGAGATGATTGTATTACTTGCCTGAAGGCTGTAGAGAAAATTAAGGCCCAAGAGGACTTCCTCCCTTCCTTTTCCTTCCCTTCCTCCCACCTTCCTTCTTTCCTTTCTCATTTCTTTTTGACAGTCTCACTCATAGTCCTGGCTATCCTTGGACTTGCAATGTTCTTGGCTCAGCCACTAGGGTGCTGGCATTGCAGACAGGCACTACTCTGGCTGGCTTCCTACTTCTTTTCACCTCCCTGGTTCTTTTTTCAGTATCGTTAAACATGCTGTGTGGCCAATGTACCTGGCGGAGGTGATGAGGTGATACTGTGTGTGACAAAGATACTATCCTTTCGTCTGTTTCTTTGCACTTTGAAATGTTTAACAGGCACCTAAACTGGTATGTATTTATGATACCATAAGTTAAAGCAGAGGCAGACACTGTGCAGTGTTCAACACAGGGTATGCATATCTGTCTCCTCAGACACATTTCTCTGAGGCAAAATACATAGCACATCACGTCTGTAGTCACCCTCCTGCAGCTGATGTGAGAGCTTCTTTCTCCCCTCTAACTGTGGCTTGGCTCCATGAACAACTTTTCCCATTATTCTCTTCTGAGAATTATGTTCCTTACTCTCAATTCTACATGGTCACCTTAAAAATTTTTTTTACCTGGTTTATCTCACTTAATCTTTCCCATTTCTATTCATCTTGTTGCAAATGATGATTCTCTTCTTCTTATGGCAAATTAATATTCCATGGTGCTTATATATTGCATCTTCTTTATCCTTTTATCCATCCATGGATACCTAGCTTTGTTCCACTTCTTGGTAATCTTGAATAGTTTTCCCAAGGATGTGAGAGTGTAAACACTTTTTGAAATACTGATATCGTTCCCTTACACACCCGGTGGTGGGATTTCTGGGTTATAGGCTAGGTCTACTGTTAATTTTTTGAGCTGCGTTCGTATTGTTTTTCTTACTAACTCAGTGTGCAGGTTCCTTTTCCCCCATGTCTTCACCAGCACCTATTAGCTTCCCTCATTTTAGTAGCAGTCATTCTTTTTGATTTTTTTTTATTTATTTAGATCTGTTTGTCTTTATGTTATGTATAATGCGTTTTGTCTCTATCTATGCCTGTGCACCACCTGTATGCCTGGGGCCTACAGAGGCCAAAAGAGGGAGTGGATCTTCTGGACCTGGAGTTATGGTGCTTGGAGCTGAGCCTGGCTCTTTTTTGTGCTTTTAGACACTGAGCCATCTCTCCAGCCCCAAGTGCTATCTGTCTATAATGAAGTCCACAAAAGATATTCAAAATCTCCCTAGTATTCACCTGTACCCTCCCTTCATGTTTCCCATAGTCCAAATCAACTGTGCACATGGAATTCTAAATGCACAACACTATTCTTGCTCTGTATGTTAACTAAGTAATGGTACATTGTTCATATTCATGATGATACTTTAATTTTGAAAGCACAAGTCTAAGGAAATATTTGTATGGTGTTAGCTTATTCTCTCACTAAATCAAGGCTGATTTTGATACAACGAAGTCATTATTTCTAGCTTCTTTCCTAGGCACTTTATATAGGCAGTTAACACACCAGGAGGAAAGGCAATAGTTGTTGCCCTAAAAAAAAAAAAATAGTCTCAATGGAAATAATGCTTTCGCTGTTTGAATTTTGTTCTTGTGGTCTATATGTGTAAACGGGATTGGAGATGAAAGGGCTTCTCGCTCTCTGGATCCCAAACTATCAAATCCTTTCAGGAGACCCTCACAGTCATCAGTAGCAGACAATACTGGATATCAGCATGTCGATCACACCTCCTCATTCCTTTCTGCTCTACCTTAGCAGCAGGAAAAGAGTAAGTCCTGTGCTTTCCACAAACAGGCTCAGTCCCTCAGTCACATGCACAACTCTATTACATTTGTATTAATTACATTTAGGATTTCCATCCTCCCTGGAAATCCTGCCTTTTTACATTCACTATGTCAAAGAAAACATAGCCAACCTGGAAGCATTCCTTTATAAGTACACACTTTAACTTTGTACAGGGCGATAAACATGGATCTATTTGCAATTTTTTATCATGTAGACATCCAGTTAGACCAGCACCATTTGTTGAAGATGCTGTCTTTTTTCCATTGTATGGTTTTGGCTTCTTGGTCAAAAATTAAGTTTCCATAGGTATGTGGCTTTATTTCTGGGTCTTCTTTTCAATTCCACTGATCCACCAATCTGTTTCTATGCCAGTACCATGCTGTTTTTATTACTGCTGCTCTCTAGTACAGCTTGAGATCTGGAATGGAGATACCTCCAGAAGATCTTTTATTGAACAGGATTGTTTTAGCTATTCTGGGTTATTTTTGTTTTTTCATATGAAATCGAGAATTGTTCTTTCAATGTCTGTAAAAAATTGTGTTGGTATTTTGATGGGAATTGCATTAAATCTGTAGGTTGCTTTTGGTAGGATAGCCATTTTCACTATGTTAATCCTACTGATCCATGAGCACGGGAGATCTTTCCATCTTCTGATATCTTCTTCAATTTATTTCTTCAGAGACTTGAAGTTTTTTCATACAGGTCTTTCATTTGCTTGGTTAGAGTCACACCAAGGTACTTTATGTAATTTGTGGCTATTGTGAAGGGTATTGTTTCCCTAGTTTATTTCTCAGCCCATTTTCTATGAAAAATTGTAAAAAGAAAAATAAAATAAAGTAGGAAGAGTGAAAAAGTTCAACAACAAAGAAATATATTAATTATTATATATCTTCTTCAAAAGCTATGCTAATAAAGACTTAATGGCAATACAAGTGATTCTTAAAGTATCATCATAACAATATGCATTATTATCAGAACCTTATAAATATACGCGTATATTCTCACTTCGGAGCAAAGACTAAGAGGTGGTAGACCAAAGCCAGAAATACTTTAGGTCTTAGTTGGAAGGAAAGTGATTATATTTTGGTGATGATCAGTTTTGAAATGTTCTGTAATAATCCCAGTTTTTATTCATTGATATTTAAAATGTGTGTGTGATGTACACACGTGGTATATATATGTGCGTGTAGTGGTAGTTATGGATTGCCTTCTTCTGTGGACTCTTCACCTTACTTTTTTAGACAAGGTCAGCCACTGAACCTAGACTAGCAGGCCAGCCAGCCTCCAGATCCTTCTGCCTCCACGTCCCCAGGGATGAGATTACAGCTACACATTGTATAGATGCTGAGGGGCTGAGCTCAGGTCCTCATGCGAGCTTAGCAGAAAACTTTAGCGATGAAACTATTTGTAGTCTAAAAATCAACACCACACCAACGTAGCTAGTACCATGTCACGTGGAAGTATGGTTTGGGAGTCAGGAAGTGCCATTAATTATCCATTGCTTTCCCATCTCTCCTTTTCTTTTTACAAAGTGAAGATGCCTAAGCAAGTCATTTTTAAGTTGACGGCTATATTTAAGTACTGTCATCTGTTGGGGACTTTTGTCTTACGTTGATGTTTGGAAATGTTCTAAGACGTTTTAGAACAATAAATATTTACCAGGGCCTTTGTCCAGCGACCAAACTCTTGGATCTTCATCCGGAACTCAGAAAAATGGGTTAAATAAAAATAAATAAATAAATAAATAAATAAATAAATAAATAAATAAATAGATAATCTTTCTTCACTCAAACCCAGTCATCATATTTTTAGTACAAGAGCTTTGATTTACTTACTTTTCAGGACAGCTTATTCTTTCAACTGTTGCTGCTGATGTCATTAATCATAGATTGATACTTTCCAAAGATGGAGAAACTGGTGTTGTCCAAGGGTGATCAAATATAATGAATGAATAGCTAGAAGTTTGACCACTGTCTTCTGATTTTGTGTGATGAGAAACCAGGAGGTTAAATTTCCAGCAACAACATAATCACCAAGGGAACCTTCCCCTAAAGGAGTTCCTATGGACTTTTGGAGTGTTTCTGCAGCTCAGTTTATTTGAGCTCCGGAATTTAGCTCCTTTTGTAAGGCTACCTTTTTAATCCTCTTCCCCTGTGGACAGGAGTCCACCCCCATCTGGCTACCCAAGGTCTATCAGAGGACTTGTGGTTGCGTGGACATATGTTACTGCCTTGGCTGGGCAACAGGGTCTACTCATGACATCCTTCCTCCTGTGATTGCGGCATAAAGGAATCTAAGTCTCACTGTGCTTATTTGTTGTCTGGGATCTGATTTTAAATACGTGTTCAAACATTTCTCAGTTTACAGATTTTAAGGCTCCTTGGAGCCTAGGCATGGTTGCAGCTGTCTGTAATTACTTGTGATGTAGGAGTAGAAAGATGAGAAGCTCAATCTAGGTAGCTCAAGATAGGTACTGCAGCTAAGTAGCAAGTAGGGGTTCAGCCTGGGCTATATGAAACCTTGTCTCAAACAGAAAAGGAATCTTTACTTGTTTGGTTCCTTCATCTTCTTTCTCAAATGACTCTCATAAGCCCACCTTTCCTCCTAACTCTTTCAGCTATATGGTCCCGGCTGTAAGATAGCATCAGCCTAACACTCTACAAGTTTGACAAGAAAGTCTAGTTTGCTGTGGAAAAGGGGAAAATGCAGAGTATTTATTGAGTGGCTCGGGGAATCAGGTGCTATGCTCAGGACTTGAAGGAACATTTTCTCCTTTCATCCTTTGAAAATCACACATGGGGCCAGGTGTGGTGGCTCACACCTTTAATTCTAGCACTCAGGAGGCAGAAGCAGGTAGGTCTCTGTGAGTTCAAGGCTAGCCTGGCCCAGGTAGCAAGTTTCAGGCCAGCTGAGGATCTACAGTGAGACCCTGTCTCAAAAACAAAACAAAAACAAAAGCAAACAAACAAAAACAAAACTATTACTTTTCTTGACTTATGAAGAAATGGTATTTAGAAAGACTAGGCTGGCCAAAAGACACAGACACTAAATGACAGCTGAGAGCTGGACACATTGAATAAGCCTCACATTATTCTTATTTTAAATTTAATTTCTTCTTTGGAAAATGTTTTGCAGTGACCTTGGATTCCAGAGAGAGAGAGAAAAAATAAGTGTTATTAGCAGCCAACACTAGCAGAGTGGCTGTGAAGAGGCCAGGCCCGACAGCCAGTCTGGATGTGTGGATGCAGCAGTGCCTTTGACGGGTGGCTGGGAGAAACTGGCTCTGCCGGGGTGCTGTGGCTCTGATGTCAGTAGACGGCTCATATTTCTTCTCCACCAGCTGCCGGTGATTCAGGAAGGGAGGGTGGGCTTGTTGGCTTCCCAACAAAGGGATCTCTGTAAATCTACCTGGGTGCTTATGCTTTTTACGTGGATTACAGGGTTTGGACTCAGCTTGCCATGCTTGCTTTACCCACTAAATCATCTTGCTATCCCTAAAAGACCAAGAACTGACCATAGAGTTGTCTGCGGTTCCCCCTCTTTGACATCGGCAGGCTAAGGCGCATCAGTGAATAGATGCAACGCAGCAGCTCTAAGAAGATGCTCTCAGGGAGATCAAAAAACAGCAAAGGAGATAAAGACAAGGGCGCTCAGGCAAACCGAAGCCCCAGCCCTACAGCTACCGAAAACAGTAAGCACCCTGTAACTCCTCAGATAAACACAAAAGGCTCAGTTCTTGTGTCTCTAGTACAGCGTGTTCGTGGTCCAGTAAAAATTACAAGAGGGAAACAAAGAGACAAAGAAAACAGAAGATCCAGGTTGTGATGTGTTGTAAATTTTTCGCGATCAGACTTGGAGTCTTAAGGAATTCTGTTTCCGGTGTTAAAATCTGTAGTGGGGAAAGCAAACAACGCTCAAAGGGGGAGAAAGGCAGTAAACATGTAGACTGCTATGCTATCTAAGGAAATGTTGGGAGTTTAAAACACGGCAACAGAAGTGAAGGGGAGTCTCGGAGGGCCTCCTTGACAAACAGCACGGCTAAGGAATGATCAGAAGCCTTATGCTGAGATGCAAAGAAAAGAAAATGGTGAAGGAAAAACCCAGGCAGAAGACCCAAATTCCATGTGACAGTTCCAGAAGGTATGTTATGAGTAATTGACGTGATAGGAGATACAGGAAGAGGTGGTACAAATGAGATATTTGGGGGAAATAGGTAAATGCATTGTGAAATGCGAAGAGCAGACATGTGACATGCCTGAGGACGACAGTTTAAAAGGTAAGAGGAAAACATTAGGGTCTCACTTATCCTCCGCCACTACCCGTTGCAAAGTCATCAGAATTGGTACAGGGACAGTTTTGCGAAGCCCTAAAAATACTTGTATACGGGAAAGAAAGGAGAAAGGAAGCAGGATGGCTGTGAGGGAGGAGATTTTTGCAGATCTCACTGATCATAGTAATGAATCCACAAAGGATTGACAGAACTGTGACTTTATATGTGGGTCAGCAGACTTCCTGTAAAGACATTTCCGAGAAACTATCTGCTTAAACTGCCACTCTCGCAATTGATCCTTATAGCCAAGGATCATTGTTTTGAAACACCTCTCATGATAGTTCCCATTTCACCTTTAAAAACTTCCTCTTGCCTCAGCCTCCTTGGATTTGTCCATGGTTTACCATGGCACATGCGTTGTGTTGCCATTGCTCCACTCTCCCCAAATAAATATTATCATTTTGTGACCCTCTTCTTTGTTATTCTAGGTCGACAGCCTGGAGCAGCATAAGGTTACTAGAAAGTGAAATAAGTCAGCTCTCATGACATGGCAATAGTCCTAACACATGGGAGAAAGAGGAGGGAGAATCAAGGAGTTCAAGGTCATCCTTGGATATATAGTAAGTTTGAAGCCAGCGTGGGCTACATGAGATCATGAGACTCTGTTTCAGAAAAAAAGGTGAGTTTGTATTTAATTATAATTCATACTACCTATACACAGGCTAGGGTAACTCCTAGAGAAATTATAAAAAGAAATATGTTCGCTATGCTAAGAGAGAAGAGGAAAATAGTCCTACAAAGTTCTCACTTAAAACTGGAGACTGGAGGGAAAGAGGGGAAAGGAGAGGGCAAAGAAATGACAAATATAAGCCATAGAAAACAGGTACTCGCGCAAAAGAATCTCAGCATTTCCATTCAGTGGTCATCTTCAGCGTATAAAGGAACAGACCACTGGTGTAAATGGAGTCACACCTACCAAAAAGAATAGTCTGCCTTTCCATTCACAGAAAATCCCATACATGCAAACTGATCTACAGTAATGGAAAGCAGAGGAGCGGTTTCTTGGGGTTGGAGATAAGCAGTAAGAAGAGGAGGAAGACAGGGATCATTAGGGCGCATCAAGAAGTTGTTAGGAGTAGGGGGGTTCGCCGTTTTGCAGAGGACCCAGGTTCAGTTCCCAGCACTCATGTCAAGCAGCTCCAGGGAATCTGGTGCCCCCTTCTGACCCCCGTGGGCACCTGCATACATATGGTACACATACAGACATGCGCGGACGCATATATTAAAAACATTATGGAAAAATTATTAGAGGGCAGGATGGGAAAAAAAACGCTCATATTTCTTGCTGGGCTCTTGGAGCCTATTGCTGCATGTGACAAAATGCAGTCCTGGTTCTGCGGTTTAAATGTCTTAGCAGAGTCAAAGAAAACCTAGATAACAAAGTAACATGCCAGCTTAAATGGATTTTTTTTTAGTAAAAATGTAAAAACCACTGCTTTGTTACTTCACCTTACAAAGATAATGCATTCTACTCCCCAAGTAGGAGCGCCAGTGTGGCTCGAACCTGCATGGAAGATGACGTGAGGACAGTTTTTCTTTTAGGTGCACATGGCTCAGCATTTCACAGCGATCCCAGGGCTTAGGTGAGAACAATATATTTGAGCAAAGCCGCTTGAAATACCAGAAAAAAAAAAAAAGTGGCTATTAGGTAATCTCTATGACATGAAAGCAAGAGAAGTATAGAAGATTAAAAGGAATATAAAGTTTGTTTGGGCATATGCACCGTGGAGTCCATGGGATGGAACAGCTTTGGATGGAGCCAGATGCCAGAGAGTAAACTTACTGAAAATGGGGTTGTTTTTGAGAACTTGACTGTGCACGTCTGAAGTATGAATGATGTGGAAGATAATGCCATTTTGCAATGTCTACACATCTGCCATCCATTTCACGGTACTACTTTCCCAGGGAGGCTGCTGATACCTTGTCAGCGGATAGCAGTGTTCCCGGGTGAATCCTGGTCTATAAAGAGGATCTTCTGCCCCTAGACTTGTAAAGTCAATATAAAACAAACAGGAAATTAATCTGAAATACCCCATTGTGCTTATAAACTCAGATTTTATATCCTTTTGGCATAATATAGCAAAAACTCATCAGCTCCTAATTTTATTACGGGCCTATAAGAGCCAGGATGTCAATTTGAAAGAGGGCCACATACACCTCCAACTGGTTTGGGGGGGACATTAATGAGTGTACTAGTTACTTTTCTCCTTGTTACTGAGTGCCTGACCAGAACAGCTGAAGGAGAGAAGGGCCGGCTTGGGCTTCTGTCGGCATGGTGCGTCTATCATGGTGGGCAATCATGGAGGCGGGACGTTGAAGCAGGCGGCTCACTGTGTCTTCAGTCAGGAAGTAAAGAAAGAAGAGTGCTGTGCTAAGCTCGTTCTCTGTTTTCATTTGGACCCGAGTCCTGGGGAGGTTGCCGGCCACAGTTCAGGTGGGCCTCACCACTTTAATGAAACCGAATCTAGACACTCTCTCAGAGACATGCCCACAGCTTGGTCCCGAAGGTGAGTCTTTGCCCCTCGAGCTGACAGTCAGTAAAAACTATCATGGCGGGTAAATGACACAATAATTTTCTTTCTTTTCCTTTCTTGTTTTTGTTTTATATTTTTTATGGCAAATATATCCTTTGTGAGCTTCTAGCGTCACAACCACTGTTTGGGCTGGTCATTCTTGAAGCTCGTATGTGTGTGCCTGTGCAATCACATGTATGAAGGTGCCCACAGAGCTCAGAAGAGGACATTGGCTCCCCAGGAGTTGGAGTTCCAGGTGCTGATGAGCTGCTTGGTGTGGCTGCTAGGAACTGGACCCGGGTTCTCTGCAAGAGCAGCAAGTGCTCTTAACCACTGAGCCATCTCTCCAGCCCCAGAGCATGGTTACAGAAGGTTTCAGAAATCAACAAGACACATTCAGCATGCACATGCTACTTTATTCTAATACTTGGCTAACACATGCAACCAACTATAGATTGAAAGACTGTTTTAATTGCTTCTGTGCTAGCATGTGCATTTTTTTTTCTTGTCATAATTCCCTACACAAGACTACTTAACGATGAATATAACCTAGAACCTCTGCTTGGATATAGCCTGTGGTAGCTCAGTAACCAATTGTTTTCCCATAGTAAGGGGAACAGGGACTATTTCTGAGAGGAACTCAATGGCAGGCTCTTTGACCTCCCCACCCCCCCCAAGGGAGGAGCAGTCCTGCTAGGCCACAGAGGAGGACTTTGCAGCCAGTCCTGAAGATACCTGATAAAACAGGGTCATATGAAAAGGGAGGCAGTCCTCCTCAATCAGTGGACTTGGAAAGGGGCAGGGAGGAGATGAGGGAGGGAGGGTGGGATTGGGAGGGAATGAGGGAGCAGGATACAGCTGGGATACAGAGTTAATAAAATGTAACTAATAATAAATAAATAAATAAATAAATAAATAGATAGATAAATAAATAAATAAATGAAAGAGACTACTTAACGTGGCATTGGTACTGTGCCAGGTCTAGGAACCAACCTACAGATGATTTAGATGAGTGTTCCAGAGGATGTGCATAGGCTGTATGCAAATAATGAAGCAATGTATCATTTTATATAAGAGACTCTGAGCATCTGAAGATTTCAACATCTGTATGGATCCAGAAATTAATCTCTAAGGATACAAAAGACCCATTGCTCTGGAGTTGTGATCTCTCTGTCTCTGTTACTGTCCCTTTGATACAGGATCTTGCTATGAAGGCCAGGCTTGGCTTGAACTTGCAGGGATCTTCCTGTTCCTTCCCCCTGAGGGCTGAGATTATAAAGTGCACCACCAAGCCCTCCTGTTTTGTTTTGTTTTTTTTTTAAAGATGTTATCATACCTTCTTGTTTATATTTAGTTGTTTTTATTTGGGGATGTCTACACAATCTAATATTAATAAACAACTTCAAGAACATCTGGTTCTGAGCCAGATGTGGTGACAAATACCCATAATCCCAGACTTGGGAGGTGAAGGTAGGAGAATCAGGAGTTCATAGCCATCTTTGACCATATAGTTGGTTTGAGATGGCCAGACTGGGATGGAGGCACTATTAAAAAATTTGTAAGAAAGAAAGAAAAGAGAGCTGAGAGTGGTGGCGCACGCCTGTAATCCCAGCACTCGGGGAGGCAGAGACAGGCGGATCTCTGTAAGTTTGAGGCCAGCCTGGTCTACAAAGCAAGTTCCGGATGGCCAATGCTACACAGAGAAACCCTTTATCCAAACACCAAAAACCAAAAAGCAAAACAAAACAAAAACAAAAGAAATGAAAACAGAACTTCAATTACTTGAAATGGTCTGACAAGGTGAGATACACAAACAAACCCTGGAGCAATCCACTAGAGGGCAGCAGGTACAAACCAAATTTAACTCTGCTCCCAGAAAAGACTAGCCATATGGCAAATGTTTATCACAAATACAACTTGTTAAGTGTAACTAAAATTAATTCAGTGACGCGAAATAAATATAGGCAAAATATTTCTCTTCTTTGGATCCAGCGGTGTGGGAGTTTAATAGGTTAAAAGATAAACGAATTAGTTCTGGTTTTAGCACTTACGAATTATGTGATTTGAAGCGATCTACTATTCCCCATTTTTATCCACTCTTAAGCATCACAAAGCTCCATAAAATGGTTCTTAAAGTTCTTTTCAAACTGGATAATTCCATGTATCAGTTATTTACTTTTCATTGTATTAGTTTTAGAAATCCTTCCGACTACAGTCTTAGACGCCAGGTAAACTATAACTTTAACTGATGGGGATTCTGGTTAGAAGCACCCAACCACGATTTCTTCGAGAATCTGGGACCTTAAAATATATTCACTCACCTTTTTTGGTGGAAATTCCCCAATAAAATGATACGCTTACAGTCTAGTGAGGGCAGAGACTGCACCTTACTAGAACAGGCTACATCTCAACTATTGGTGCAAGGGAAACAGAGAACCCACGCGGTTAAGCTGTCTTCACTCCTATTTTCATTTCAGGAGGCCTCTAAAATCACAAAAAGGTTTCTACATAGAAAAGCAATTGGCCTGAAGGGCAAGGATATAGTAAACAGAGAAAAGGGCAGGAGTCAGACAAGGACCATTGTTACCTCATCACTCACGTGGCCAACAACAGCAGTTTGTGGAAGCAGGTGATTTAGACAGTGTTGATATTTTCCAGTGGTGCTGTTGTAAATCGTCACCACAGTATTCCGTTTGAGATGCACCAGAAATGGAAACTCTTTTCTAAATGGCATTTTTCAGGGCACCCATGGTTAATTCCGCCAAATTGAGTGGCAACAGAAATCTTTTCTAAGTCCAGTCTGATAATATAGCCACAGTTGATACTGTATTGTATATTTTAATGTCTTTTACCCTTGCATAGGATATATTTTCTACTTACATGCCCAAGAAACGATGGAGTAAGCCAGCTTGGTGTGAGTGAGGGATGAAAGAAAATCATCCTTAAGACAGGAAAGCTTATTAGAAGCCAGAAGTAGAACACTGTTCTGTGCCCTCCAGGCTGCTGGCCCTGACAGGTTAGCTCTATCTGAGTTAGAGAAATTGGGGTTCTGGACCCTGTGTGTCTGAGGCAGGTCAGCTTTCTCCTTAGTCTCAGACTGATGTCATTAGTGTTCATCCACACTTCACTATTTCCACCAATCTGGTTTCCCTGATGAAAATGAGGAATATGATTTCAAACTCGGAGCCATTTTCAGACAAGTTGCAAAGTCTCATTACTTCCAAAGGATGAGCATTTTATTTTATTTTATTTCATTTTTCAGGCAGGGCCTCATGTAGCTCATGCTGGCTTTTAACTCCCTATGTAGCCGAGGATGGCCTTGAACTTCTGACCCATGTGCTTTCAGCTCCCAGTATTGTGATTACAGGTCTCTATTAACAGGACCTAAGGTTTATGCAGTTCTGGGGATGGGGAGCACTGCACCAACTGAATTGTTACACCCCAGTCCCCAGACAAGCATTTGAATACTGATGCCCTCCATTCAAACCCTGACTTCTCTGTATTTTGTGCCTCAGTACCCTCATCTACAAGGTGGGAACAGTTGTGCCCACTATCTAAGGCTTCTCTCCAAATGAAACAGGTTAGAACACTATTACGACTGTTACTTAAGTATGAAATATTAAAATGATTACCATTTCCTTACTGTATTTCCAGAAGAATGGAGCTTAGGATATACGACTAGAGTCTCGCTTGAAGTCATTTCTTCCTGGCCTTTTATTACAAATGATTTACTTGCATTGTTTCTGTGCATTGGGGTGAGGCCACGCCAGAGGAAAGCGTGCAGGATTTTTTCATCTCCTTCCATCATGTGGGTCCCACGATCCTCACTGGATTCCAATTACGGGGATGGGGCCTGGCAGCAAGCACCTTTACCCACTCTGCAATCTTAGCAGAGCTTGGCCTTTGTTACCCAACATCTTAATGCTTCATAAGTAACCAACGTTATCAGCCCCAAAGGATGCCATGGAATGAATGAACTTGTAAAACGAGGCTGGTCTAACATCGCATGGCACTAACTACTTTCCAGTTGGAATGTGGGGTACATCTTAAATACAAATTGCTGTCTATAGCGAGGAACACCACTCAACAATACCCCATTGCTCGAGAGAAGTTTCAAGGTGTCCGCCCACACAAAAAGAAGTTACAGATGTTACTGTGATAAGCCAGGATCACCTCTGCCAGGACTGGATTGAAACAAAGCCCTGACTAGAAAAACAATATATGTTTATTTTGTACAAACGGCTGTCAGTGTCCAAGAGCCAGAGGCTGTCTGTGTGCCAGGACCAAGAATTAAGAGCGTCCCGGGGCCAACAGTCTGCAAGTGTTCCAGCGCCAAGCGTGACCGTGCATCTCTAGGCCAAGTTCTTAGGTGAGGCAGGGAAGCCGTGCTCAGAGCAGCAGCAGAGAGCCCAGCAGCAGCTCGCCCTGGCCCAGCGGTCGCCTGCGCTCCAGCCCACGGCCCTTGCTCTCGGCTTTGATGCGCACCACCAGGCGGCGCAGCTGCTCCTCCGAGAGCCCGTCGAAGCAGCAGTCCTGGTCCAGGGCGGCCTTGCGGCTGCGGCGGACTACGCTGGCGCGCTGCTGGCCCGACGGCCGCTGCACCAGGCTGAGGCGACAGCCCACGGCGCGGGGCTCCAGCGCGACGGCCGGGCCCTCGGCGCGCAGCAGGCGGAGGCGGAGGCTCGCGCTGCGCCGACAGTACTCGGCGGCCAGGCGCAGCGTGCACGCCCCGCGGCCCACGGCCACGCTGGCCTCGGCCTGCAGGCGCTCGGGATCCCGGCCGCTGGGGGCCGGGGGCGCGCAGGAGGCGGCGCGCTCGTGCTCGTCGCCGCGGGACCCGGGGCGCGCGCCGGCCCGACCTCGGGGGGCCCGCAGCGCGCGGCTCAGCAGCCCGTCGGGGCCGCGCAGGAGGCGGCGTCTGCGGGAGGCGGCATGGGGCGTCAGGACCCGGGCGGTGTCTGGGTCGTCCGGTGCGGGGCTCGGGGCGTCCGGGACTCGGCGCGAGCTCGCGAGAGTGTGAGCGCGTTGGCGGAGCCCCAGCCGGGGGACGGGGGCGCCTGGGTGGCCGAGGAAGAGCGACTCCTTTCGGCGCGTGTGCGGGCACTCGAGCAGCGCGCAGAAGCCGTAGGCGGTGCGCGCGCGGGGCAGGTGCGGCAGCGAGAGCGCAGCCTGTGAGCGCGGGTCCCAGTCCGTGTGGCCCGCGCCGTCGTGGGTGTCCGCATTCGCTGCCCACGCGTCGCGCAGCGCGGCCCAGGCCGTGCTAGGCTCCAGCCTCGGCGGGATGCAGAACTCTGGGATGCGGTCAGGAGTGAGCACGTTTGCACATGCAGCGGACGAGCGAGCTTTGGCTCGGCGGGCGCGCCCCGGGAGGAACCCATCTCGGTCCCGCAGGAGCCGCTCCAGACACCACATCCGGCCCCCGAGTGCACTAGGCTGCCTGCAACACAGAAACGCACGCCTGTCAGAGGCAACCTGGAGGAAAGGAGGAATTTCTGTCTCCCTTCTTCGACTTCGCCCTGTCCTGACCCTTACAAAATAAAACACACACCTCACCCCCACCCCCACCCCCACCCCCCGTTGCAAGCTGTTTTCAGAGATGCAAAAACAATCGTTTCTTCCCTACCCTGTCTCCGGTTGGCTGACATGTAGATTTGCTGCTTGCTGGCAGCCTTTTCCATCCTCCCTCACTGACCCTGTTTCCTTTGTCTTACTTTCGCCTCTGTCCCTGGTGCATCCGTTTCCTGACACCTAAAGGTCTAGTACACTCCAGTCCTCAGCGAGCGCGCGCGCGCGCACACACACACACACACACACACACACACACACACACACACACACACCAGAAACGGTGGCTCGAGCTTCAGGCCACTCAGGAGGGAATTGGGTTCTCATTCATATACCTGCTGTTCCGAGTCAGAGGGTTTTCGAACCCGAGAGACGCTGAGAAATTCAAAGCGCGCGCGGTAGGGTTGATCGCTGTTCCAGGACAGCAGGTCCGGGCTTTTATACCGCTGTCACGATGCTGCCTGGCAACCTGACGCCCAGCCTTCCCAGGTCCTTCTGCCACGTGGAAGCATTTGCTGAGCCCGTCCTGCAGCCAGTTCTTGTGCTGTGTTTGGAGCTGTTCTTCTCCCAAACCCTGAACAAGTTTGTTTCCTCACACAGAAAACAGGGTTAAGTCTGGACCATGTCGCAGTCCTTGTGAGGACAGATGGACAAAACGAACGTGAGCGCACAGAAGCACTCTGCATGCACCATTCGAAAGAAGCCAGAAATCGGGTTTGTCTTCCCAACGACCTTTCTCATATCCAACCTTCTTGATGCCTAGTGTTGAAAGTTCTATACTTCCTGCATTCCGTAATGATTTTAGAAGCCCTTTCTCTGCTGATTTTAAATCACTCTGGGCTGTGCGTGTGTTGGGGGGGCGGCTTATGGGGTTCCGGAAATGTTTCATGTTTGTCTTGGGTGGGGTTACAGGGGTGTGTTCCTATGTAAAGAAATCATCTAGTGTACACTTAAAGTTACATAATATATATTGCATATGTTATGTATATGTATATAAATTAAACCACAACCTTCCTTTTAAAGCAGGATACTGATTTTTAATTAGGAACATACACTCTATACATACAGCCAATGGTATCATCCTTTGGAGATACACTGTGCCTATCTGAGACCCCACTCTTTCTTCTGAAAACTGTTTTTATCTTTTAAGAGAGTTGTTTGCAACTTGAGTTGAAAGAAATCACGAGATAATTTCAGTTAGTTTGGACATGAGACATTTTCTAAGATGCTGTCTTGCAAATGAATGGCCTCTCCAAGCAGTGTGGAATGAATTCAGTTGAACCTAGGCAAAGGAGCCTTCAGTTTGGGTCATGTCGTGTGCGTTTTGCATCCAGGACATACGGACAATGAGCTAGACGAATTAATCTCTGGAGTTGTCACAGGAACCTTAGCAGTTTCGGATTATCCATGTTTCATAAAGAAATGAACAAAACCCTCAGCATTTCAAAGGTTAAATGACTTACCCATTGCCATTAAGGAAATGAACAGAAAAGCATGGCCACCAATGAATAGTAAAAGAGTTATTAGGGGATTAATATACATTGTTCCGCAGCGGGCATGGAACACGAGAAATGCTAAAGACAAAGAAGCAGGGCTGTCAGTGTTGTTTACAGCAAAGGTGGGAACGCTGACGGTAGTTAAGCAAACTGGCCTTGAAATTATGACAGAACAGTATTATCTCACCACGAGCAAGTTGCTGAATGTTTCCGAGCCTTGGCGTCCAGTGAAAGACCATGGTGAAACACACCATCGGCTTGCCTTTGGATAAGATGGGTGATGCCAGTGAACAGTTTGGCAGAGGACCTGATGGGCATAGTATTAGCTTTTATGGCCATTGTTACTACACTAAACGTGTGTTTAAACCAGAATTTACTGAATGCTTCCTGGGTTTTAACCCCCATGGTAGACATATGAATCCAGGCTGTCCCAGACCCTATCAGCTTAATGTTCAACTCTTAGAAGAGGAAGAAGATGGCGGGGTGGAAATAATTGAATTCCATGTAGCCAGGGCAGTAGTGAAGGGAAACGTGTAAAGATATTTTATTTTTAATATGTGTGTGCACATGAGTACACACACTCATGCTCCTGCATGTAGATGCCCCTAGAGGCCAGAGGAGGGTGACACCTTCCCTGGAGGTGAGCTACAGGCGGTTGTGAGCTGCCACCCATGCGTGCTGGAGCTGCACTCGGGTCCTTTGCAAGGGCATCAAGTGTTTTTAGCCACGGAGCCATCTCTTTGGACTCTACTTAATATTTAGTCTGGTAGGGAGGATTGGAGAGTCCCTGGGTTTAGCATGTCTGTGACTAGCTTCCTCATCTTGCAGCCTCTATTCCTGGCTCAAGTTCTTGAACGAGGGTTCAGTGTGTGAGAGAGCAATTGCTAAGTTGTATATAAAGGGCAGGTACACATGTATGTTCAAACTCACTCCCCCCCCCCCCCCCCGAGGGACAATGCTGTCAGTTCCATTCAATCCTGGATGTTGGTTAAAATGACAAGCAAGGAATATGAGAACGCAGTCTGAGGAGTTGCGACTCAAGGTCACTAACTTTTTGAAGCCCGCTTGTAGATGGAAGTGGTCATATCTATCGCATAGACTGCTGTCAGGGTGAAGATGATCTTGTGGATTCTCCGGGCAGACAGCACGTGCTGGCTAGCAGCTGTTGCTCCTGTCCTCCTGCAGGTTTGCTTAGCCAGGAATTAGCTGATTCACACTGCAGTTCTTGAAAAACATCTCTCTGCTCAGCCAAGCAAAGCTGGCTTGTTTTATTTTTATTAACAGTTCTCCGTCTTTAGCAACACCTTAGAAACATTTCCTGTATAATGTTTCTTGAAAACAACTCAGGAGTGCCCTCATAGGCCGACCCTCTGTGACCATACACGTCTCATGTTTTACTTAACCCAGAAGCGGGAGCCACCTTGTGCTTGGGAGGTGCGTGTAATCTGGCCCAGTCAGGTGTCCAGAACACACACATCTGCTCAGAAGCAGGCTGTGGTCATTCTGAGCTCATACCTGTCACCATGGGGACATCTGGAGACAGAGCTGTGCAAACAACATCATTTGTGGCTGGATGTCCCCTCAGAGTAAACAGGAACGGAACGTTTAAAAACAGATTTGCTGAGGCTGAGCTGTGGGAGGCTGGATAACGGGTTAAGAGGAGGCAAGTGCTCTGTCGCACAGTACGGTGAAGATAGTCAACAATATCACATTGTGTAAAACTGAAAATAGCTAGAAAAGATTTTGAATGCATTCACCATACAGACAAATGCAGGCTTAAAGCGATAAAGATGTTAATCACCCTCACCAGAAAAATTTCTGATAGATAGGTGAATCCTAAATCACATTGTGTCATACCTATTAAAAGGAACATTTTTTTTTTTCTGTGTCAATAAAAAAAAGAAAAGTAGTAAAAACCAGATTTACAAAGGTAGTACACAGGAGGTTGGGTGTCTAGAAAGCAAGAGATTATCGGCTGGTGCTCTGATTCACACATCTCACCCTGGAAAGTATGGCGTACAGGACACCTGGGCTTTATGGTCATCCACTTGTAGAACACTGGGAGAGCCCCTCAATTCTCTCTGGTCTTCAGTGTCTCCTGTCTATTTAGGTCAGCAGTTCTCAACATGGGGGGCATGAACCCTTTGGGGGTTACATCTCAGATATTTACCTCTCAGTTCTTAACATTAGCAAAATTACAGTGAAGAAGAAGCAACAAAATAATTTATGGCTGTATTAAGCCATAACACCACAACACGAGGGGCTGTATTAAAGGGTCTCAGCTTTAGGAAGGTTGTGAACCACCGAGTTAGGTGGTTGGATTCATAGATGTTCTCTCAGCTCCCTTGCTGTGCAATCTCCTGTCTTCCATCTACTCGGGCCCTCCTCCTCAGTCTGTGTGTGTGTCTGCAGGTATGAACATTCAAAAGTCAAGGGACAGCCTAAGGTGCTCTCACCTTCTTCAATTCTGGTTAAAAAAGCAAGTAAGAGCTGTAATCACTGCGGTGTCCATTTTCTTTAGCTAGCCCATGCTTCCAATTTATTTCCCCCATAGGGCTGTACTTTGGGTGCTGTTTTGTTTTTTTTGTTTTTTGTTTCTTGAGACAGGGTTTCTCTGTGTATCCTTGGCTGTTCTGGAACTCAGTCTGTGGACCTGCTTCTGTCTCCCAAGTGCTGGGATTAAAGGCTTGCACCACTGTTGCCTGGCGCTGATAGTGGTTTAATTTTTAAAATTATTATTTTACTTTATGTGCAAGTGTCTGCATGCATGTTATATGTGTGTGCATCACAGATGTGCAGTGCCCTGGAGGTCGTCAGAGATTGTTGGCTTCCTTGTAAGTACAGAAATAAAATTTGGGTCGTCTGGAAGAGCATTTCTTCAGCCATTTCTCTCAACCACTGGGCCTAGCCTATGATGGTGTTTTTTTTTTTTTTTTTTTTTTTTGGACATTAGTTATGCTTTTTAAAAAATGGGATTGGGAAGGGTAGAATGGGATGGAAATGATGATGTATGAGGCTCTTAAATGGTTTCTTTTTCTTTATTTATCTTAGTGATTATAATATAATAACAGCATTTCTCCTTCTCCTTTCGTCTCTCCAAACCCTCCTATGTGCCCTCTTCATTCTCCTTCAAAGTCATGGCTTCTTTTTCATCAACTGTTATCGCACACATATACGTACTTCTATGTGATGTATATATTCCTAAGTATAACCTGTTCAGTCCTTATACTGTTCTGATGTTATGTGTATGTATGGTCTCAGGATTGACTGGCATGATGGTGTGCTCTACCCCGGGAGGGATCACCTCTTCTGCTGTCAGCTTTTCTCAGTTGCCTCTGGCTCTTTGTGTAGTGTTGAAACTTTACGGGATTTTCCCTATCCAGTTTAGTATCAAAAATTCTCCCCACCTGACCCCCTCTCCCCCTAGGGTTTCTCTGTGTAGCACTGGCTGTCCTCGAACTCACTCCGTAGACCAGGCGGGCCCCGAACTCAGAGATCCACCTGTCTCTGCCTACCCAGTGCTGGGATTAAAGGTGTGCGCCACCACTGTTTGGCTCAGAAATTCTTTAAACAATAAAAGGGAATGTACATTTTTGATTTCGAAAGAAATGTGGAGGATTTGGTTCTTACTGGACATACATAACCAGCCATCAGCACCTCCAAACAGGCTCCAAGTGGAAAATGGTGAATTTTCAAAGCTTTTACTGGCACAGTACGACATTATTTGCACTAAAATGTTTGAATTTTCTACTTTAATTTTTTTTAAAATTGTTAGTAGCCTCTAAAAGAGCTTTAAGAATGGCTGCTAGTCCACCTCTATAATTATTGACAGAGGTGAGGGTGACGGTGTTTAGAGAAGGAAATTAGTGACTCCTGTGTGATTTGGGGGGAGTCATTTAGTATTCCTGAAGTTAAATTCCTACTACATTTTTCTCTATTACGTTTCTATTAAAATTAATTGCTTCACAGATTGTGAGTGAGAGAAGAAGATGACTACAAATGACAGAATGCCTGGGATATGGGTTAAAAAAAAAAACCTAGTAAAACAGAATTAAGCTCATAAGAGCATATTTATCCATTATTCTTTCAGAACTGTGAGGTGCTATTGAAATATAGGGAATGAACACTGGAGGGTCCGTATTGCTCACACCCTCACAAGGCTGTACTGTTCCCTTTACCGGTTTGAGCACACCAAGCCTCTGCGTCAGTTTCCTTGTCTCACTGTCTTCCAAACAGCTTGCATCGCTTTGTTGCTTTTTATTGCACACCCTTATCAGCAGCAACTTACATTGTTTCTTTAAACCTCCCTCAGTGAACAGTCAGTAGGAGCATAGGCAGGGAGAGGGGGGGCTTTAGGAGGAGGTGTTTTAGTTACCTTTTCTGTTGCTGTGATGAAATACCAACAAAAGCTACTTAAAAAAGGGAGGCCCATTTTGGCTCACAGTTCTAGGTACATCACCGCAGGAACTTGAAGCAACTAGTCACATGGCATGGGGGAGGGGGAGGCAGGGAAGGGAGAAAAGGGAGGGAGAGAGAGTCAATTTTGCGCTCACCTCTCTTCTTTTTATACAGTTCAGGATTCGATCCTGGGGAATGGTGCCACCCACAGTGGGCAGGCCTTCCCATCTGTTATCTCCCACTGGCCTGCCCAGGGCCTTATCCCCCAGGTGATTCTGTATCAAGTTGACAGTTGAGATGGTCAGAAAGAGCTTGGGGACAGACTGAAGAGAGTGCTGGGAGTTGTTGGATAAGGCTGAGCAGCACATTGTAAATATTAGGTTATTATTTTTTAGTAGGTGACTAACAGATTCATCTGCGCTCTGGAAAAGTGACCTCTGGTGTCACTTTGAAGAATGAAAAAAAAAAAAAAAGGGCTGGAGGCGGAGGGTGGTACCATCCATACCAGTGAGCAGTTCCGAGGAAGTAAAAGAATTAAGGAGGCACAATGAGTATAGAACAGGCAGATTTTCTGTCAATTGGTTATCCATGAAGGGCTCCAGGTGTAGTCTGACAAAGCAAGGAAAACAAATAGTGAAGAATTTCTTTAATGCGGCAAGAATATGAAAGATTGAGTTAGGTCAATTAAGCACTGGTTAGCAGGTTTTTTTTTTTTTTCTTTTAAAATTTGTATTTTCCCTATTATTTATTTATTTGAGACAGTGTCTCCTTGTGTAGCTGTGGCTGTTCTGGAATTTATTATGTAGACGATGCTGGCCTTGAACTCACAGAACTCCATCTCTGAGTGCCAGCATGCCCAAGCCTTTATTTCTTAAATCACATACATTTATTTTGTTATTTAAACTAATTTAGTTGTTTTTGAGACAGGGTCTTACTCTGTAGCCTTGGCTTTCTGTGTGTTTCCATGCATGCAAGGCAAAAATGCAGCGTGAAGGTCAGAACAACTTGAGGGTGTCAGTTCTCGCCTTTCACCATTGAGTTTCAGGATTTGAACTCACATCATCAGGCTTGGCACCATGCACCTTTACCGCGGGGCCATCTCACTATCTGACACAGGTAGCCAAGGATGACCTTGACCTTCTGACCGTCCCATCTCTGACCCTCCAGTGCTGCGGTTAAGAGGAGTGCATTACGACGTCCGGATTATGAAACGCTCGGGACTCGAACCCACAGCTTCACGCAGCAGCGCCCCAGGGCCCCGCCGCAGCCCCTCTCTCCGCAGCCGCGGAGGTGGGGTCGGGGGGGGGGGGCACGCCTGCGCACTGGCGGCGCGGCGCACGCGCGGCGCGGGGCGGGCCTTAGCTGTCAGTCTGCGCGCGAGCCGCCGCCCTCCCCCGGGCGCCGCGTCCTGGCTCCTCCCTCCCCCGCCTCCTGGTCCGCGCCATGGTGCTGGAGTCGGTGGTCGCAGACTTGCTGAACCGCTTCCTGGGGGACTACGTGGAGAACCTGAACAAGTCCCAGCTGAAGCTGGGCATCTGGGGCGGTAAGCGCGACGCCAGGGCCGGCCGGCGGGCGAGAGAGCGGGGGCTGCGCGTCGGGGGGAGCCCGGGGACCCTGCTGGACCTGCCGCCGCCGTCGGCGTCCCCTCCCGGGGGCAGCGCGCTGCTCAGAGGTCCTCTCCAGTCCCGCAGCGTCAGACAAGAAAAACAAGATGTGGTTATTTACCTCGGCAGCGGACGTCAGAGTACGGCTCACGCTCCCTGCCGTGCCAGCACGTCTCCCCTTGCAGAGGAGCAGGAAGGACCAGGCTTCCTTCTCCTTTGCTTCCCAGGCCTGGGCAGGTGGGATGGGCAGGGCTGACAGTGAGAAGAAAGGCAAGCCTCGTCCCTAAGGACTCTTAACTCAGGGATTCCCAGGGCGGGCCACTTCTTCTGGGCCACTTCCTCGTTAGGCAGAGGGCCGTGCAGTTTTGTTTTGTTTTTTTGAGATAGGTATTTAAGCTCCTCGCCAGAGGCATCATTAATTGAGGTCTGCTTGGGTGCAACTTCGGAAAGACCTTCCAGGATTATTATAACGAAGGTTAGGAGTGGAAAAGTCTTGTGATAAGATTTACTTATCTACTTCTGCATTCTTGTAAACTTGGATTTGGGAGTGTAGCTCAGTGTCAGAACGCCTGCTTCGAGCCTCTTCAGCACCTCAGGATACCAGCACAAATCGGGTGTTTGGGGATATGGGAAGCACTTTCATTTATTTACTGAGTTACTATAAGGTTTGGGAATTTTGTCAGCTTTGAGAGGAAATTAAATAACAACAGCCAACTTAAATGGCTGGAACTGCTTTTAATTGCCAGTGATTTAAATATAGGCTTGATCTGCCTGGTTGGTATTGGCCAATGGGGAAGCTAGCTGTTTGGTACTTGAAACGTGATTACATGCTCTGAGTATAAGAGTATAAAATACATTGGGTTTTGAAGATGAGCGTTTCTTCCAATGGAGTTAAAAAAAAAATTTAAGAAAACATCTCAATAAAATTTATATTGGCTACCTATTGAAATAGTATTTGAGTAGATTGGGTTAAATGCATTATTAAAATTCAGGACCATCGTTAGCTACAAAGTCAGTTTATGATGACGTTACAAGAAACAATCATGAAGCTGAAATGCATAGGCTGCTCCTATTTGCTCCAATAGGCTTGTTTGTCACTATTACCTACCATTAGCAATTGCGAAGGATTTTTCACATTATATCTATCACAAGGGCTTCTAAGATTAATGATTAGGGAGAGGCATCCTATTTTTAGTGGACAATGCTGTCATTGAATTACAACTTGTCCTCTGAATTATGTAGGAGCATATTTTATTTTAAAATAAATGTCCTGTTCAATTTTTTGTGGTTCTCCCATAAATCCTGCTAACATAATGCAAAAGGAAAAGTTTTCAAAAGGAGTTAAGTGCCTGGATCATTCCGTCAACAGAGAGAAGTCTAGTGTTTCTTCAGAATTCTTGCAGTAATGCCAGTTATTCTTTGTAAAGCATTTGAAAAAAGGCGCTCAGGCCAATGTGAACTCTGAGCTAGAAAGCCTATAGTTCTAGGCCTGCTGGTGTGTTGGACAAGCCTTTTACTGTAAGGACCTTTGCTTCTTCATTTCAGCTTTCACAGAGAAGGCATTTGTATGGCTTGAAGAGTTCAAGTCATACCTTACAAGATAATATTCCCATCAACCACTACCCAGGTTTTAGTGGCTGCTTTGTCCTGTGCAGGTCTTTTAAAAACAAAATAAAATGTGTGGATGCAGTTGAAGATTCCTTCACTACCAAATCTTAGTCATGTTTACTTTTAAAGTAAAAAGTTGGGCATGTTAGCGTCTGTACTGTGTAGTTTGCTCTGTAAACAGTTTTGACAGTGAATATAGCCTGAAGATTTTGAGTTTATTCACACAGAATTTAAGTGTTATAGAGCTGTGTCACACCTCCTGCCTGCCACACTGTCTTTAGGGACATCTAGGGAGGAGACTTTTCTTCGTCCTGTTTTCTACTTTAATTCATTTTGTGGGGCTGGGGACCCAAGTCCAGACCTTGATGATGCCCAGTGACACTCAGCGATAGCTGCCCCCTCAGCTCCACTTTATTTTATTTTTTTTTAGAATAAAGTAATCTGCCAGTCGTCTGCAGTAACTGTGCAGCGTGCCTGAGCAGATCCACGAGTTACTTTGACCAGCTGTCCTGGGGACAGTCTGCGATTGTGTTTTGTCAGCTCACAGCTCAGCTCCTGTAAAATTTACTTAATGGTTTCTGGAAGTCATGTGCTTTGTAGTTATTGCTCAACATACTGTCTTCAATCCGAATCTCCCAAAAATAGAAAGACAAGTCTGAGTTGACTATCATCACTCTGACAATACTGCTGGAGAAGCTGATCTTAACTTTTTTTTTTTGCAGGGGGAGGGGAGGGATAAACAAATGGGATATTAATGAAATTTTTGATATGACATCCACAGTGCTGACAAAGCTGTTCAGGAAAATTTGAGAATTATATGTAGTCCTATTTGAAAACTGTATGCATGTTAGCAGATAAAATTTATGTGTCGCTGCTTTTTTCCCCCCCTTCAAGTTTTGCATGTTCAGAACTTTGGAATAGGAGGATTCTTCCTGTAGAATTTTCACGTATTTATTTTTTTTGTTCTTTGGGGAATACGTTGGTAAATCTTGACTGACATATTAGACTAGCCCAAAGCAGTAGTTTTCAGTGTCAGGATGCTGTTTGGCAGTGTCTAAAGTGCTTTTGATTGAGGAGATGTGCTGCTGGCAAGTGTTAAATAGATCCTAGGGATACTGCTAATGGCATCTAGCAGTGTGAGAGACAGACAGTCTGTAACAAAGGGTTATCCAGCCGTGTATTGTAGTTGAGGAACTGGTCTAAGGAGAAAATGGAGATTGTCTCCTGCGTATAATGAGACCTACTGAATGAACAGATTTTAGTAAGGAGTAAGAGAAATTCTAGAGAAAGTTTGCTACTCTTAGGCGATTTCTAACAACAAGAGAAACTGGTATCTTAAGTCACTGACATGTATCATGTTGCATGATTTTGCTTTGATGTACCCGGAGAGTTTTGAGAGTCAAAATATAGTGTTACTCTAATTCGAAAAACATTGTGCTGGGCCTATGAGACATTTATACCGTGAAAGCCCCAATAAAGAAGAAAACTGTAGCATGAAAAGGAAGGAGAAAGTTACTAGAAAGTCGAGACTCAGGTTAATACTCTGGATATTGCTTTTAAATTGAAGAACGAGCGACGTCAGCAAGACAGCTGGCTCGGTGGAAAGGTGCTTTCTTCCAAGCCTGGCTACCAGAGTCCATTCCCGTGGATGCACAGAGCAGAAGGAGGGAACTGACTCCTTCAAGTTGTCCCCTGACCTCCACATGCAGGCACAATGGCACGTGCCCTCCCTATATAAAAACATAAAAATTTTTTAACTGAAGAAGCAAAGGAAATAATAATAATAAATAATAATAAAAGAACTTCAGAGAGACATAAAGGTTTTTAAACTTTGTGGCTATCTTTTGGAATTTATTTATTCTGTTGTTGGCTTGATTGAGACAGGGTTTCTCTGTGTAGCCCTGACTGGCTGTCCTGGAACTTGCTCTGTAGACCTGCCTGGCTGACCTCAAACTAATGGGGATCCTCCTGCCTCTACAGTCTAAGTGCTGGAGTAAGTGGCATGTGCCACCACCTTCTGCCTTGGAATTTATTCTTGGAAGATTGTTTAATGCCAAACAATTCTTAAGTATCTCTGAAAGTGGGCTAGGCAGAATGCATTTAAAAGACCTGCTGCTGTAGAAAGAGGCCCTAGTTCACTAGTTAATAGGATCTTGGAGAAAAATGTTTTAATTCTCTAAGCCTCAGTTTCCTAATCTATGAAGAGAACATACAGGACACAGTGTCTGTGATGGAAGTCCAAGGAAAGTCTTTGTGATTGTTAGCGGTGGATGGTAACGGTAGGCGGCATTTTTGGATGGTGGTGGGTGGTGGTAAAGGTTGGTGGGAGAGCCAGCTGTTGTGTTTTCGGAGGCGTGTTTCCTCTAACATCGTACATCTGCTGACATGCATGTGGATATCTTTTATTTCCCCTGCTCCCAAACACTTAAAAGCAAGGAAACGTTTTGCAATTTATACTTGACAACGCTTGAGTTTTCTGTAGCAGTGCAGGACAGCCTTCAAAGGCTCAGACTTGTGCCTGGTGGGCAGGTGCTGCCAGGTGAGAATGTTTATCTAGACTTTTGATCCCCACAAACTGGTACCAGCAGATAAGTTACACAGCCCTTAGCTGTTTGAGAGGTATCCAGGATTTAATTGTTTTCAGAGTAATGTGTGTCGAAATGTCAGATCTTTTGCAATTTGGGTCAAGTAGCGTTGTTGCCAGTTTGATTTTTCAAAGCTGTTTACTGTGGAGGAGCAGGGGCAGCTTCCATTTAGGACTCTGTGGCTCTCACTTCTAATCCGGTAGACTAAATGGTGTGTAGGACACCAGCAGCGGCTGTGGTGCCAGAAACAGGAACCAGGGTGTAGTGCACACAGAGTTCATGGCCCCGAGAGCCAGTCTCTGGGGTGTGGTTTCAGGTCCTGTCCTTTACCCTGGAGGCCCTTCCCTGTCAGCGCACAGTTAGCGGTGGAGTTCCTATTCCAAATTCTGAGGGCTAGAATTGCTGTAGATTCTGGATTTTTCTTTTTCAGAATTTGGAATATTTATAAGTCTGTAATGTGGATGACACCCGAGTTGGCATAAAATTCAGTGTTATTTCGTATAGGTATAGTGCATATAGCCTGCAGTTATTTTCAGCATGCTGCGTTTTGACAGCAGTGTGCCACGTAAGATTGAGTGTGTACGTTTTCTATCTGTGGCAACACGTCAGCACCCAAAAGTTTTGGGCTTTGGAGCGTTTTAGATTTGTGACACTCAGCTTGTCTTGCTGGCAGAAAGCAGCATGAGGAAGGAGAGTGAGGATGAGGAAACTGGATAGGAAGTTATCTCTGACCAGGCGTATGTAGG